AAATCTTTCTAATCCGCTAGCTGGTGGTCCTATAAAATCCCATTTTTTCATCGACAGGTAGGGTGAATTCTAAGGTTCCTTATTCCGGAGCGGAAGAAGAGGGAAAATGGAAGGAAAACCCACCAGCAGTCCGCGGACCCGAAAGGAATTGAAAATGAAACAAAAATCTGTGTTCACTATCTATGGAGTGGAGTGAATATCTATCCTTAATCTCCTCTTCCCTATCTCCCCCTTCTCGCCGGCAGGAGAATCCATTTCTTTTCTTGTATTGTTTATTATGATTGATCTTTAGTTCAAGGGCACTCTTCCTAATCCGAGTTTGAGATGGAATAAGACCCAGACGTAGAGTCCCGCCGGCCGGGAAGGGATTTTTTCTATTGATTTATTGACTCCCTTCTGGAAAAGCCCTTTCCAGATGGAGTAGTGCATCTCTGTCTTGAAAGCCCGCCCTATAGATAGGAACTCCTATCTCTACTGCCTATCCAACCCAAAGACTCTTATTCGTGGTGGAGTGCTTCGAATAGGATCCGATCCCAGCAGTCAAACTCCTTCCTGACCCGGCTCACCTGCCTCTGAAGCTGGAATGCCTTTCTAGAGGAGGCTGCCCGAGGAATCGAAAAGTTTGAAGTGGGATGTGGAATGTGATTGGTGATGGATGGTGGTTATGAAATAAGTTCTGCATCAGATGATAAGCCCATGCGAAAACTTTCTCTTTTATTGGCGCCTGATAGGTAGGCTATTAGATTGAGTCGAAAGCCTACCAACGCATAAAGGTTCCGATTCGAGCGAGAGCCCAAACGGGGGAGGCGAGAACATCTTGATCGAAAGCTCTACTGTTCTTAATAGTGAGAAAGAGTTTTCAAAATTCGATCAAATCGATCGAGAATCTCATCATCTGTTAGGTGGGCCAACCGACCGATCGAGTTGGGCGTCCATGTCACAGAACCTTTCTTCTAGCCAAGAATCCCATTATTGTTATTGATCGAATCGGGGCGGATCCAATTCATTGGTAAATGAAAAATCGACCCTCAGAAAAAAACCTATAAAAGGCGAGGCAAGGGGCTCTCCATCTCTAGGAAGATTGTGTCCAGGATCTGGTAATATAAGCCTTGCTTATTCTGGTCGGCTCGTATTAGCCTGTGCTTTCTTACAGGTAGTCATTCCCCCCGTTCCTTTAGTCTTTTCAACGGTACTTGAATCTTAAGTCGCGGTCATGTCTCGCCCCCCAGTATAGTGACCGGTGACATCTTTCCCCCGAATTTCATCAGGTCCAGGCTCAAGTGCCTGCTCATCCATCTTCATTCCAAAGGCGAACATTTCCATTGAGTGAGTGTAACTGCTATGGTTTACAGTCAATAGTTCTTAACCAACCCTTTCTCGCGGAGCTAGCTTTAAGAGAGAATAGGGAGTAAGGGGGACCTTCGCTTCATTAGAAATTGGACCCTCTTTCTTAAAGTCACCGGCGGCAGGTTAGTCAAGTTCTCCTGCTGCTTATTTGGCCCTGCGCTGATTCAGGAGCTTCTTCTTTAGTCTAGGTTATTAAAAAATAATAAGAAAATCAAAAGAGGGCGAGAACAAGAAGCGTTCGCCAACTTTGATAGGTATAGCAAGCAAATAGAGCAGAGAGCTTACCCTTTGTTTCTATTAGAGTCGCGAGCTTGTTGTAGTCGGTCCTAAAGGGAGAACCTTGCTGCTTACTTGCCCCGCGTTCTTGCACGGCTCGTTCTTCGAGCCCTCCTTCTCCTTTCCCCCTCTCTCCCTTCTATCGTCCAAAACAGGCCGTATGGAGTATAGCCAAGTGGTAAGGCATCGGTTTTTGGTACCGGCATGCAAAGGTTCGAATCCTTTTACTCCAGATTATGAACACCCGAAAGGATCTGTCAAGAACGAGCTGACGACTACAGGAAAAGGGGCGTAGGGCTAGGTAGTGCCTAACTCCCTCTCCATGATGCTTCAATCTTTTAGTAGGTTCTTACGTTATGGCAGTCAATTCATAGATGCCTCTTCCGGTCCAGGCGAAATGGTCAATGTAGGTCGGAACCTTACTCAAGATTTGAGTGCGTCTGGCTCTATGTACCTGGCTGGTAGTCCCACATAAAAGGCAATTTTCAATACATTTCAGTATGCTTCGAGCGTGAACCCGATAGAGAGGACTTCTGGAGTAGTAAAGCACTGACGAACGCCCCCCTTCCTTAAATAAAGGCTTCGACGCTCTAGGTGCAATACTTGACGAGGGGCCTTTTGTGACTCGGCTCCCGGCCGGTCCGCACAAAAGGGCAGTGTCCCTTGCTCGGTGCCCGCTGGCCCTTTTTCGGTAACTGCTAATGTCTACTCCAGCGCTTATCCCACTGTCCGCTGATACGTACATGGGAATATCATACTATCCCACTAGCGATTTTCTAGCCTTTCAAAGAAGTAGGGATCTGTAAGTTCCCATTCTTTCTGTCATTATCGAATTGGTGAACTTGGAGAATTCACAACGCTCCGTCAGCTAGCTTCGTGTAGAGTACGAAGACAGTGGGAATCGATTCCTCTTGGCAGTAAAAACCGCTGGTAACGAAAAAAAACCTCTGAGGAGAGAGCCTTGCTCTCGTCTTTCATTTATGGATCTCCCTCGCCTGCCATGGCCGTGTTCGTTCTTCGAATTCAGAGAATTCTTAATCTTTGACTTCCAAACAGCTAGAGAGGGATAGGCACCTCTAGTTTCATTAGTCAATAGGCGGGTCCTACCGGGATCCGCAATTCGTACAAGGAGTAACGACTGGGCCTAAGTCCTGGCATGGGTTGTTGGAAGGTGTCAGTCTCTCAGTTACTTCAGGTTAACCCAGATGTGATCGGACCGGGAGCACATATCTCTTCTATAGCCTTCATCCCAAGCAAGACTAACCCACTCTCACAAACCAATGCCATCATAAGTAGTCCTAACTAGGACAGTACAATGAGCAAGGTACCTTCTCCACCTTCCAGTAAATATTCCTCCTACGGGACATGAGATCTCGTTCCTTGTTTTATAAACCATTAGGACATGAGCGCCCTTTCCTCAACGAAGAACTCGCTGACACAACAACTAGAGGAACTTTTAACGCCAACTCACCCGATATCTGCGTACTAGAACTTCATTTTGGAAAGCATTCTTCGACATCTCGAGTGAAACGGAAGGAATGGACAGACGGGATAGGTGGAAGAAAAGACTTCTATCTAGGCGAATAGAGGCAGCGAGAGTACTGTTTCCTTCCTTACTTGACTTGACTGTAGAGCGGGCATTCGTTCTTCTTCTCATTGTTCGAACTAACTCACTGAAGGTCTCTACACAGCGATCTAGGTGACTAGAGACTCCTAGGATGAGCATCTACTTCTTCTTTCCTAAGTGTGAAGATCAACTGCTTCCAGAGTGACACGCACAGCTCGTATCAAGCCTTATCGCCTACGAGGATAGCCCCTAAACCTAAGGACCTTCCTTCCAATACCAACACCACTAACTGCTTCTAAGCCCCCAATCCGATATCAGGAATGAAAACACAGGACTCTACTAATAAAATAAAATAAAAAGTAGTCGACTTCACTTCATCAGGAATTCCTTGAGTGGTGCACTGTTTTAGGAAGAAGCCTGCCCATGTCATGTCTCCTCTAGAAGAAAGGAATGCAAACTCCCTCTCTCTGTTCTACGATTAACCCCCTCCTGTTCATGTGCACTAATGTCAAACCTGAAACTTGCTAACAGCAGGGTTTGTTTTTCCTGTAGCAGGGTATTCTCTTGATTAACGCCTTTTCTGCTCTAATTACTGGCATGATTGTCTACTTTCGAAAGTCGCTGTCGAAAGGCAAACAATGTGGGTAGTACGATTATTCCTCTTTATGTTAGGCTGGACGGAAGCCCTTTTTAAGGTTTTTTAACTATGTAGGTATCTTCCCCGTCTCTGGTTGAATTGATCATGAATAGTATGACACTGACTCAGCTCAGATGCTGATCCGGGCCTCTGAAAGCACCTCCTGCAGGACTGGATTCTCGTTCTGAACCGAAGACCAAAGAGAAAGAATCCCTTGTTTCTAGGATCTAGAAATCGAACCGGCATAGCTTGAGAATGTAGGCTTCTCCTCAAAAATAGGTACCGAAGCCGACCGAAAGAGTTTATTTAGGAATCTTTCCCCATAGGGGTCTGTTACTCCCGCCTAAGCTGATGTCTGGAATGGCTGTAGTGGAATCTTTATATAACATGGTTCCGACATCGAATGATTCCCCACAAGGTGCCTGAAACTCTCATTTTTACAGCAGAAGTACATCCAGATTGATTGTAAAAGTTTCATTCTCCGGTGCCCAATTCCTACCTTTTGCTTGGTGATTTGACTTTCGATTGAGGAACGCTTAGCTGCTCACGCCAATGCTCATGGGTATGGGGCCATAACTGCTGCTACTGTTATACTCCTACACTCGAAGAGAGTCCTACTGCCGGCGAATCTACTGAAAGGTAGTCCTACTGATAAATCTTTCTCTGTGGATTCGACCTGATCGACTTCCCACGGATCTATATCTATCTATTTGATCCGATTTGAGACCATTGTTCGCAGAGCATATTCTCTTGAAAGCGAGACCGGTCATCTACGGATACAATCTAGCCTTAAGTACTCTAAAACAACAAGACCAGATCGAGACGTTCCGCAACACTTCAAGATCTGATTTCACTCATGAAAGCAGAAATACGAGCTATCCGCTCCTTTACTATATTTCGTAGACACGCAGCTCTTTGAGCCACCCACCCTTGTTGTCTAAGAGGTTGACTATGTCAATCAATCAGCAAATCTGACATTGAATTGCCAGCAGAGGAATTTCATTCCGGGAACCCGTCTATGAGACGGCTATGGGTATAGACAGACCCGAAAGACCATTCCTTCACCACTTCAAAGAATAGACGGAGACGAGACGTACGATTGAAATTTTTTTATGAAAGCAATGGCTCTTAGCCGACTAAGATGACCACATAGTGGTATACTACTTCACGTAA